ATGACTAGTTCCCTCTATATTTTCTGGAGATACAGTAACATGACTTGTTGTTCCCTCTATATTGTCTGGAGTTACAGTAACATGACTAGTTCCCTCTATATTTTCTGGAGATACAGTAACAGAACTTGTTGTTCCCTCTATATTGTCGGGAGATACAGGAACATGACTTGTTGTTCCCTCTATATTGTCTGGAGATACAGTAACAGGACTTGTTAACTTCCCAACAGTGGAACTAGTTTAATCAGGCCATAGATTTCAGAAATAATTTCTATTTCGGTTATTGATATCAACAAACATACATGGGATTTTGTGCTTTGTCACCAAAATATACAGCTGTACAGACTTTCTGCTCTAAACTTGTGCAATTAATATCTTCTATATATTAAAGAAGGAATAAACAGACAATATCTGTGATCTTGGAACTATCTTTGATTAGCAAAAAAAAATCAAAAATTAATAATGATGATGATAAAAAATCACATAAAAGAATATAAGGATCCCTGATAAAAGTATAGCATTATGTAATAAATCAATATTGTACTGAAAGTACACAGGACAAAGTGATAAATGGTATATATACCATATCAAAATGCTACCAAAAGTAAACTAGTTTTGGCAAAATGATTTCTTCTCTTACCTATAATCAAAAATGCACTAGTTTGATCAACTTAAATGTGTATTTAGTTGTCAGTCAGACTTGACTAAAGGAAAATTCTCACCCCTTACAAACCTACCTCTTTGTAACAAGATAAACAGAACATCAACATTAGCAACACTATAATACTTAGAAAGATGTCAACGCTATAACATGTCAGAGTGTTTTGTTTTTTCCATGGGTGACTTTCTACACATTACAAACTCCATATTGACACCCTTATTTTGATCTTATATTATGAACTGCATTCTCTGGATGGCTAGTTATTGGATCTTAAACATTTTGAATATTAAAAAGTGTTCCTGAATTACAAGTAGTCTTTCTCCAATACAGGGAGTGAACAGGGAATGGAAGCAGGGATACAAGTTTGTCCATATTTATGGTGAAACACATATCTAACACAGAACTAACAATTCTTACCGTAAAAGAAAACTATCAACAAATAGTAAATCACATGATAACCTTTTCTCCATTTTATAATATAAAGCATTGCATTTATAGAAAATTGAAATTCAGCTTTTTTTTTTATTTTGGTAGACCTTTTTTGCCAGTAACAATTAAAATGTCTGCCAATACAGAGAGAACTGATTTTGTTCTTAATTATACATGAAAATCCATAAAAATCTTTTACTTTCAAATTCAATATGGTCCCTTGACTGCCGTTGTTTTGTTTTTTTGTTCTTTTATCATTTCCAAAATAAAAAGGGCACAACTTAGAAGTAATGGTAACATTTGTGTGAAATTTGACAAAGATCCATGCAGTATTTCTCCAGAAATAGCAATAACAATCTTTCATTGGGAAAATTTGCATTCGCTACCTATCTGCCATTTGTTTTTCTGATCATGTTCGGACAGAGCGAAACTTATATTACAGTCAATCAAACAAGTTACAATCATATCAACATAAACCAGATGAACTTAGATTAACACTTTCATTGGCTAAACAGAAAGTACAATATTCTTAACAAGTGTGAATATTGTTAACTGGTGTTTGCATTGGTTGTCATAGTAAAGGCTGTAAGGACTAGGTTGTGTGGAAGGATACAGCCAGTGGTGAACAGGTCTGGTAATGTATTAATGCCTTGCAGTGTTCATTAATCACACTACTATTATAGCACACAATGTTGGGAGTTCATCATCCATACATCTCAAATTGCACCATCAAAAATAGTACCCATAACAAAGTCTGGAAAATACACATGTATTGTAAACACCAATGATAAAAATTCATGTCACACTATTTCACATTTTTCCTGTTCTACCTGCACAAATAAATATTCCTCTGTCACCATGGCAACAGAGAAAATAAAAACTGTGGATGTCATGTGATAGTGTTGCCACAACCTTATAGGGATTCTTTGTTGTATATATCACCACGGAAACACTCTAATAATGATATTAATGACAAAGGTATCACTAGACACACATGGTATCTAGTCACAATCCTCATTCTATGCCATTTTAAAAACTATGAACAATACATTATATATATAAAACACTTCAGCATGATCATATACATATATACAGTATCATTCAGTGTAAGGTGGTCACCGGGCTATATTCTCTACACTAGAGTACGCCAAACAACTGATGACAAAGGTATTAACAGACGTCTGTGTTAGTGATGTATATAACAGGTGTCTGTGGTAGTGATGTATATAACAGGTGTCTGTGTGATGTACATAACAGGTGTCTGTGGTAGTAATGTATATAACAGGTGTCTGTGTGATGTACATAACAGGTGTCTGTGGTAGTGATGTATATAACAGGTGTCTGTGTGATGTATATAACAGGTGTCTGTGGTAGTGATGTATATAACAGGTGTCTGTGTGATGTATATAACAGGTGTCTGTGGTAGTGATGTATATAACAGGTGTCTGTGTGATGTACATAACAGGTGTCTGTGGTAGTGATGTATATAACAGGTGTCTGTGGTAGTGATGTATATAACAGGTGTCTGTGGTAGTGATGTATATAACAGGTGTCTGTGGTAGTGATGTGTATAACAGGTGTCTGTGTGATGTATATAACAGGTGTCTGTGGTAGTGATGTATAGAACAGGTGTTGTGGTAGTGATGTATAGAACAGGTGTCTGTGGTAGTGATGTATATAACAGGTGTTTGTGGTAGTGATGTATATAACAGGTGTCTGTGGTAGTGATGTACATAACAGGTGTCTGTGTGATGTATATAACAGGTGTCTGTGTGATGTATATAACAGGTGTCTGTGTGATGTATATAACAGGTGTCTGTGTGATGTATATAACAGGTGTCTGTGTGATGTATATAACAGGTGTCTGTGGTAGTGATGTATATAACAGGTGTCTGTGGTAGTGATGTATATAACAGGTGTCTGTGGTAGTGATGTATATAACAGGTGTCTGTGGTAGTGATGTATATAACAGGTGTCTGTGGTAGTGATGTATATAACAGGTGTCTGTGTGATGTATATAACAGGTGTCTGTGGTAGTGATGTATATAACAGGTGTCTGTGGTAGTGATGTAGTAGTGATGTATATAACAGGTGTCTGTGGTAGTGATGTATATAACAGGTGTCTGTATATGGTAGTGATGTATATAACAGGTGTCTGTGGTAGTGATGTATATAACAGGTGTCTGTGGTAGTGATGTATATAACAGGTGTCTGTGGTAGTGATGTATAGAACAGGTGTCTGTGGTAGTGATGTATAGAACAGGTGTCTGTTGCAGTGATGTATATAACAGACGTCTGTTGCAGTGATGTATATAACAGGTGTCTGTTGCAGTGATGTATATAACAGACGTCTGTTGCAGTGATGTATAGAACAGGTGTCTGTGGTAGTGATGTATATAACAGACGTCTGTTGCAGTGATGTATATAACAGGTAGTGATGTATATAACAGACGTCTGTGGTAGTGATGTATATAACAGGTGTCTGTTGCAGTGATGTATATAACAGGTGTCTGTGGTAGTGATGTATATAACAGGTGTCTGTTGCAGTGATGTATATAACAGGTGTCTGTGGTAGTGATGTATATAACAGGTGTCTGTTGCAGTGATGTATATAACAGACGTCTGTGGTAGTGATGTATATAACAGGTGTCTGTTGCAGTGATGTATATAACAGGTGTCTGTGGTAGTGATGTATATAACAGGTGTCTGTGGTAGTGATTATATAACAGGTGTCTGTGTGATGTATATAACAGGTGTCTGTGGTAGTGATGTATATAACAGGTGTCTGTGTGATGTATAGAACAGGTGTCTGTGGTAGTGATGTATATAACAGGTGTCTGTTGCAGTGATGTATATAACAGGTGTCTGTGGTAGTGATGTATATAACAGGTGTCTGTGGTAGTGATGTATAGAACAGGTGTCTGTTGCAGTGATGTATAGAACAGGTGTCTGTTGCAGTGATGTATATAACAGACGTCTGTGGTAGTGATGTATATAACAGGTGTCTGTGGTAGTGATGTATATAACAGGTGTCTGTGGTAGTGATGTATATAACAGGTGTCTGTGGTAGTGATGTATAGAACAGGTGTCTGTTGCAGTGATGTATATAACAGACGTCTGTGGTAGTGATGTATATAACAGGTGTCTGTGGTAGTGATGTATATAACAGACGTCTGTGGTAGTGATGTATATAACAGGTGTCTGTGGTAGTGATGTATATAACAGGTGTCTGTGGTAGTGATGTATATAACAGGTGTCTGTGGTAGTGATGTATATAACAGGTGTCTGTGGTAGTGATGTATATAACAGACGTCTGTTGTAGTGTTGAATATAACACACAGATTTGGCGGTATCATTTCCTTTCCACAAATTCCAAGATCTTGATGACAATAAATACTTTGGTTGATAAAAGCCATTCCTCCAATCTTTACAGGGATAATGTGTAACATTGTATCCAAAGACAAAAGAATTCCTGATCTGAAATGCACTTCCTTTCATTGAACACTTTGCATTCCCTTTTATAAAACAGGCATCTTTATATGGAATATACTTCCTTATATGGAACAGTCATCCTTATACAGAATACACTTCCTTAAATGGAACAGACATCCAAATACGGAATAAACTTCCTTATATGGAACATACCAGGTACATATATATATATCCTTTTGGATTTAATCCTCACGTGGAATTTCATATCCTTCATTGGAATATATATCCTTGTATGGAATATCAAATATCCTCATATGGGGTTATAATCATTCCTTGTATGGAAATGGCTTCTCCGTGTTATGGAATGCTTCTCCAAATATGGAATGATGACATCACTGGGTTATGGGAGGGGAGGTACTGGACACTGCAGGACTAGCCCTGGCACAATGACATTTCCATTGCTCTATAACTGGTGTTGTGGTCAAGACGGCGCTAGAGACACAGTGGATAGTCTCGACTGCTTTGGTTCTATTTCTAGAGATGCTTTGTATGTGCGGTCATCGTCCAGTAGTCTATTTGGGTCTAGTAGGTAGTTAGTTATCTGAAGCAAAAAGTAAACATATTACTGTTTAGTTCTTACCTAGGTCAAAAATACCTGGGTCAGTGGAGCATAGACTGAAACAGCCTCAGGTGAAAATTGGAGGTTTGTGGTTTAATCCCTACCTGGGGAGGATTGTTTCTGTGGTGGAGATAGGAGGTGTGTTGTTCATTCCCTGCCATGGGGATTCATGTTTCTCAGGTGAAAACCAGAGGTGTGTTGTTCATTCCCTACTATGGGGATTCGTGTTTCACAGGTGAAAGGTGTATGGTTTGATCCCTACCATGGGGATTCATGTTTCTCAGGTGAAAACCAGAGGTGTGTTGTTCATTCCCTACCATGGAGATTCGTGTTTCTCATGTGAAAGGTTTATGTTTGATCCCTACATGGGGATTTGTGTTTCTCAGGTGAAAACCAGAGGTGTGATGTTCATTCCCTACCATGGGGATTCGTGTTTCTCAGGTGAAAGGTGTATGGTTTGATCCCTACATGGGAATTCATGTTTCTCAGGTGAAAACCAGAGGTGTGTTGTTCATTCCCTATCATGGGGATTCGTGTTTCTCAGGTGAAAACCAGAAGTGTTTTGTTCATTCCTTACCATTGGGATTCATGTTTCTCAGGTGAAAACCAGAGGTGTGTTGTTCATTTCCTAATATGGGGATTCATGTTTCTCAGGTGAAAACCAGAGGTGTGTTGTTCATTCCCTAATATGGGGATTCATGTTTCTCAGGTGAAAACCAGAGGTGTGTTGTTCATTCCCTACCATGGAGATTCGTGTTTCTCAGGTGAAAGGTGTATGGTTTGATCCCTACCATGGGGATTTGTGTTTCTCAGGTGAAAACCAGAGGTGTTTTGTTCATTCCCTACCATTGGGATTCGTGTTTCTCAGGTGAAAACCAGAGGTGTTTTGTTCATTCCCTAATATGGGGATTCGTGTTTCTCAGGTGAAAACCAGAGGTGTGTTGTTCATTCCCTATCATGGGGATTCGTGTTTCTCAGGTGAAAACCAGAGGTGTGTTGTTCATTCCCTAATATGGGGATTCATGTTTCTCAGGTGAAAACCAGAGGTGTGTTGTTCATTCCCTAATATGGGGATTCGTGTTTCTCAGGTGAAAGGTGTATGGTTTGATCCCTATTCAATTGACACCAAAAACCAAATTGATGTAAAGCTGTTATTTTCTAGTTTGATATACTCACCCTAACATGGTGCTCTATTCTGTATGGTGTTTGTTGAAATAATCTTATTTCCCGTATTACATGTGCAATCTGGAAAACAATTTTGAGAAATATTGTATACTGTCCTTGTCACAATATTTATTTTTCTATTTTCTAGCCTTATCTCAAACGAAGTTAATAGTAAGTTCTATGAACATAATTGTTATTATATTAAAAAACATCGTATTTGAAATAAAATATTTTGCATTGTGCTATCCTAAATGTTGAAATTTATCGTAAATGTTTAATATTTACAAATAGATATTCAATATAATGAAGTTATCAATTTAGGAACTTAATGGCCCAGATTGGTCTAAATAATGTGGTGATTGATCTAGCTACTGTAGATATTGACCTATAAAATGTAGTTATTGATGTAGCTACTGTAGATATTGACCTAAATAATGTAGTTATTGATCTAGGTATTGTAGATGGTGACCTATATAATGTAGTTATTGATCTAGTAATGTAGATATTGACCTATAGTATGTTGTTATTGATCTAGTAATGTAGATATTGACCTATAGTATGTTGTTATTGATCTAGCTACTGTAGATATTGACCTATCTAATGTAGTTATTGAACTAGCTACTGTAGATGTTGACCTATATAATGTAGTTATTGATCTAGGTATTGTAGATGTTGACTTATATAATGTAGTGATTGATCTAGTAATGTAGATATTGACCTATAGTATGTTGTTATTGATCTAGCCTCTGTTGATATTGACCTATATAATGTAGTGATTGATCTAGTAATGTAGATATTGACCTATAGTATGTTGTTATTGATCTAGCCTCTGTTGATATTGACCTATATAATGTAGTAATTGATCTAGTAATGTAGATATTGACCTATAGTATGTTGTTATTGATCTAGCCTCTGTTGATATTGACCTATATAATGTAGTGATTGATCTAGTAATGTAGATATTGACCTATAGTATGTTGTTATTGATCTAGCCTCTGTTGATATTGACCTATATAATGTAGTGATTGATCTAGTAATGTAGATATTGACCTATAGTATGTTGTTATTGATCTAGCCTCTGTTGATATTGACCTATATAATGTAGTGATTGATCTAGTAATGTAGATATTGACCTATATAATGTAGTTATTGATCTAGCTACTGTAGATGTTGACCTATATAATGTAGTTATTGATGTAGCTACTGTAGATATTGACCTAAATAATGTAGTTATTGATCTAGATATTGTAGATGGTGACCTATATAATGTAGTGATTGATCTAGTAATGTAGATATTGACCTATAGTATGTTGTTATTGATCTAGCTACTGTAGATATTGACCTATCTAATGTAGTTATTGAACTAGCTACTGTAGATGTTGACCTATATAATGTAGTTATTGAACTAGCTACTGTAGATGTTGACCTATATAAAGTTGTTATTGATCTAGCTACTGTAGATATTGACCTAAATAATGTAGTTATGATCTAGGTATTGTAATTTTTGTCCTATCAACATCAGATCCTCTATCACACATTTTAGAAACACTGATTTATGAGTACCATTCTCATTTTGGAAAAGTTGACAAGTCCTTCCTCTGTGTTGTCTGGTGTTCCCTCCTCAATAAAGGACAGGTCTGTCAGGTACATTCCCAGGTAAGGTATACAGGGAGGGTCACACCTGTTAACAAGATTCACACAGTAAAGCTATACAGGGAGGACCACACCTATCAACAAGAATTACACAAGGTATTTTACATCTCATTTACATATTAAAGATATATTGCATTTCAATCCCACAAAAGTGGTATAACACCAATCTCTACCAGAGTTGTCTTTCCTTAACAGTCACAAAACACCTCTGTAAACAATCTCTACTGGAGTTGTCGTTCCTTAACAGTCACGATACACCTCTGTAAACAATCTCTACCAGAGTTGTCGTTCCTTAACAGTCACAATACACCTCTGTAAACAATCTCTACTGGAGTTGTCGTTCCTTAACAGTCACCATACACCCCTGTAAACAATATCTACCAGAGTTGTCGTTCCTTAACAGTCACATTACACCTCTGTAAACAATCTCTACCAGAGTTGTCGTTCCTTAACAGTCACAATACACCTCTGTAAACAATCTCTACCAGAGTTGTCGTTCCTTAACAGTCACAATACACCCCTGTAAACAATATCTACCAGAGTTGTCGTTCCTTAACAGTCACAATACACCTCTGTAAACAATCTCTACCAGAGTTGTCGTTCCTTAACAGTCACAATACACCTCTGTAAACAATCTCTACCAGAGTTGTCGTTCCTTAACAGTCACAATACACCTCTGTAAACAATCTCTACCAGAGTTGTCGTTCCTTAACAGTCACAATACACCTCTGTAAACAATCTCTACCAGAGTTGTTGTTCCTTAACAGTCACTCTACACCTCTGTAAACTGCTCACAGATTATCACTAGCCCAATTAGAGTAAAAAATTATGGTATCCCTGACAACATCAATGAAGGAAACACAAGTAAACTGCATTGTATGCCAATCAGACTTAACAATAACATTTGGGCTTTTATATTGAGAACATCTTGTAGTAGAAAAGTGAAAGTGCAAAATCTAAACATGACTATTGGTGTACCTTTTCTCACCATTATTCTTCTGAGATATAGCCCATAATGTTTACAGCCATATTAATTAATGTAATCATTTTCCAGAAAACAAAACATTTACTTTTTAAAAATTTTTAAACACAATATACAAATAAAACAGGAAAATGATTAGATAATTCATTATTTGACACAAATTAGTTTTTAAAGAATCTTAGAGTGGTGTGAGCTATCTACAGAGGTGTTATATAGATAACTGCAGTGTACTCTGGGAGAGATTGGTATTCATTCCTCTTTAAACACTACTCATACATTCCTTCTCACAATTATTATCACTTATGTTATTTAAGTAGGAATAACATTTGAACTTAAAATGATTTTTATTCCAAACACAGTTAACATATCTTTCTAAAAGAATTAAAATGAAAGTCTGGCATTGAAATTACAATGACTTCAGTTTTAAAGACATGACAGATAAATCACAACTTTTTCAGGTCAGTTATCTCCCTTTGCCTGTATCACATTTATCAATTTCTCAAGCAAGTAAATTCACTCTCTATAAACATAAATATACATTATATATATACAATGATTGTTGTCTGTTCAATAATGTTAGGAAACTTGATTTGAAAACATAGATTCAATTGTAATGAAACAAAATAAAGTGCATTTTTGAATAAAACAAGAATACATCCTACTCTTCACTACAATTAGATACAGATTATGGCTGATTAAGACCTTGTTAGCTACAGATTATGGCTTACTAAGACCTAGTTAGCTACAGATTATGGCTGACTAAGACCTATTTAGCTACAGATTATGGCTGATTAAGACATTGTTAGCTACAGATTATGGTTGACTAAGACCTATTTAGCTACAGATTATGGCTGACTAAGACCTATTTAGCTACAGATTATGGCTGACTAAGACCTAGTTAGCTACACTTTAAGGCTGACTTAGACCTTGTTAGCTACAGATTCTGGCTGACTAAGACCTAGTTAGCTACACTTTAAGGCTGACTTAGACCTTGTTAGCTACAGATTCTGGCTGACTAAGACCTAGTTAGCTACATATTATGTTTGACTAAGACCTTGTTAGCTACAGATTCTGGCGGACACAGACCATGGTAGCTATAGTTTATGACTGACTAAGCCCTACTTAGCTACAGATTATGTTTGACTAAGACCTAGTTAGCTACAGATTCTGGCTGACTAAGACCTAGTTAGCTACAGAATATGACTGATTAAGCCCTAGTTAGCTACAGACAATGACAATATCTGCTACCGATTATGGTTGACTTAGACCTTGTTAGCTACAAATTATGGTTGACTAAGACCTTGTTAGCTACATATCATATTTGACTAAGACCTTGTTAGCTACAGATTCTGGCTGACACAGACCTTGTTAGCTATAGATTATGACTGACTAAGCCCTACTTAGCTACAGATTATGGCTGAATATGATTGACTATGACCTAGTTAGCTACAGATTAAGGCTGACTTAGACCTAGTTAGCTACAGATTAAAGCTGACTAAGCCCTGGTTAGTTACAGATTCTAGCTGACTAAGACCTAGTTAGCTACAGATTAACGCTGACTTAGCCCTGGTTAGCTACAGACTATGGTTGACTAAGCCCTAGTTAGCTACAGATTAAGGCTGTCTTAGACCTAGTTAGTTACAGATTCTGGCTGACTAAAACCTAGTTAGCTACAGATTAAAGCTGACTAAGACCTAGTTAGCTACAGATTCTGACTGATTCAGACCTTATTAGCTAATCATTATGGCTGACTAAGACCTGGTTAGCCACAGAATATGGTTGACTAAGACCTTGCTAGCTACAGATTATGGCTGACTAACACATTGTTAGCCACACATTCTAGCTGAATTACACATTGTTAGCCACAGGTTCTGGCTGACTAAGCCCTAGTTAGCTACAGAATGACTGACTAAGCTCGAGTTAGGTACAGATTAAGGCTGATAAAGACCTAGTTAGCTACAGATTATGGCTTACTAAGACCTAGTTAGCTATATATTATGGCTGACTTAGACCTTTTTAGCTACAGACTATGTTTGACTAAGACCTTCTTAGCTACAGATTATGGCTGACTAAGCCCTCATTAGCTACAGATTATGGCTGACTAAGACAAAGTTCGCTACAGATAATGTTTGACTAAGACCTTCTTAGCTACAGATTATGGCTGACTAAGACCTCGTTAGCTACAGATTATGGCTGACTAAGACAAAGTTCGCTACCGATTATGGTTGACTAAGACCTTGTTAGCAACAGAATATGGTTGACAAAGAGATTATTAGCTACAGATTATGGCTAACAAAGACTTAGCTCGCTACAGATTATGGCTGACTAAGAACTAGTTAACTGCAGATTATGGCTGACTAACACATTATTAGCCAAAGATTCTAGCTTACTGACACATTGTTAGCCACAGATTCTGGCTGACTAAGCCCTAGTTAGCTACAGAATGACTGACTAAGACCTAGTTAGCTACAGATTATGACTGACTAAGACCTAGTTAGCTACAGAATGACTGACTAAGACTAGTTACCTACAGAATATGACAGACTATGCCCTAGTTAGCTACATATTATGGCTGACTAAGCCATTGTTAACTACAGATTAAGGCTTACTAAGACGTAGTTAGCTACAGATTATGGCTGACTTAGACATTGTTAGCCACAGATTATGGCTGACTAAGCCCTAGTTAGCTACAGAGTATGGCTGACTAAGACCTTGTTAACTACAGATTGTGGTTGACAAAGAGATTATGAGCTACAGATTATAGCTGACTAAGGCCTTGTTAGCTACAGAATATGACTGACTAAGCTCTAGTTAGCTACAGATTATGGCTGATGAAGCCCTAGTTAGCTACAGAATATGGCTTAAAAAGACCTAGTTAGCTATAGATTATGGCTGACTAAGACCATGTTCACTACCGATTATGGTTGACTAAGACCTTTTTAGCTACAGATTATGGCTGACTTACACCTTGTTAGCTACAGATTATGGCTGACTAAGACCTCGTTAGCTACAGATTATGGCTGACTAAGACAAAGTTCGCTACCGATTATGGTTGACTAAGACCTTGTTAGCTACAGATTATGGCTGACTAAGACCTAGTTAACTACAGATAATGGCTGACTAAGCCCTAGTTAGCTACAGATTATGGCTGACTAAGACCATGTTCACTACCGATTATGGTTGACTAAGACCTTTTAAGCTACATATTATGGTTGACTAAGACCTTCTTAGCTACAGATTATGGTTGACTAAGACCTTGTTCGCTACATAATATGGTTGACTAAGACCTTGTTCGCTACATAATATGGTTGATTAAGACCTTTTTAGCTACAGATTATGGCTGGCTCAGACCTAATTAGCCACAGATTATGGCTGACTAAGCCCTAGTTAGCTACATATTAAAGCTGACTAAGCCCTAGTTAGCTACAGATTATGGCTGACTAAGCCCTAGTTAGCTACAGATTATGGCTGACTAAGCCCTAGTTAGCTACAGATTATGGCTGACTAAGACCATGTTCACTACTGATTATGGCTGACTAAGACCTTTTTAGCTGCAGATTATGGTTGACTAATCTCTTATTAGCTACAAATTATGGTTGACTAAGACCTTTTTAGCTACAGATTAAAGCTGACTAAGACCATGTTAGCTACAAAATATGGCTGACTAAGACCTAGTTAGCTACAGATTAAGGCTGACTAAGACCTAGTTAGCTACATATTATGGCTGACTAAGACCTAGTTAGCTACAGATTATGGCTGACTAAGACCTAGTTAGGTACAGATTAAGGCTGACTAAGACCATATTAGCAATGGATTAAGGCTGACTAAGACCTAGTTAGCTACAGATTAAGGCTGACTAAGACCTAGTTAGCTACATATTATGGCTGACTAAGACCTAGTTAGCTACAGATTATGGCTGACTAAGCCCTAGTTAGGTACAGATTATGGCTGACTAAGACCTAGTTAGTTAAAGATTAAGGCTGACGTAGCCCTAGTTAGCTACAGAATATGGCTAACTAAGCCCTAGTTAGGTACAGATTATGGCTGACTAAGACCATGTTAGCTACAAAATATGGCTGACTAAGACCTAGTTAGCTACAGATAATGGTTGACTAAGTCCTAGTTAGCTACAGATTATGGCTGAGTAAGACCTAGTTAGCTACAGATTAAGGCTGACTTAGCCCTAGTTAGCTACAGAATATGGCTGACTAAGACCTAGTTAGCTACAGATAATGGTTGACTAAGCCCTAGTTAGCTACAGATTATGGCTGAGTAAGACCTAGTCAGCTACAGATTAAGGCTGACTTAGCCCTAGTTAGCTACAGAATATGGCTGATTTAAACCTAACAAGTGATAAACTGTCATGAAGACCATTTGATCTCTAGATTATGACTGAGGCTGGTTATAGCCTGTGATTTAATACTTATAGATTTTGTTATAAAGGTTGACCCAGTTAGTTGTATAAGGTAACCTTAATTAAACTAGTTTATAGACCTTGGCCTGTATTCATGAAACCGTTCTTATACTCAAGCATGAACTTTGTGATCAAGCCTAATGCCTTGCCTACATTAAAAATTAATAAATAAGACTGATTTTGCCAAAGATTTAAATGAAAATTGAAAGGACTTCAAGTCAAAGTCATAATCAATGTTTATATTTGACATTTGTATTATTTTATATGATTTAGAAGAATTATAAAAGTCTGCTTAAGCACAAAATCTATGCTTGAGCATGAGAATGGTTTCATGAACATGGCCCCTGGTTAGCTTTGTGATGCATGAAATCAGTTATAGTTGATGTGTGGTTTTGCATATAGTATCAGTCTGTTGCAAGCTAAGTATGAATTATAGGACTACTTTACAGTCTATAATACTGTGCACCTACAAACTCAGCTATACATTAAACATCTACTACAGCTGTTGGTTACAAAATTACACTAGATCAATTGATAGATCGAAATTTTATACAAATATTCATAAACATACTATCATAAAGATATGCTGAACAGTTATATACAGATAATTTCTAACATCTGTTTTTATCTTACATGTAAACATCTTTGTAAACAAACTATTTACAAATATAATTCATGGAATAAAAAAATACAGTGTAACAAAGGAACTAAACTTGTGCAGTAGTTAACTACATGATGATAACAATGACAGGTAACGCAGGAAGGTCACAGCTACTCTACTTCTAAGTGACAAAGGGTGCAGGTGTATGTAATGAGACTGTGACAAACAGATCCAACTAAATTCACTATAAACTCAGGACATTGTGTGTGGCAGGGACAAATCTATAGTCATAACAGACTCAGGACATTGTGTGTGACAGGGACAAATCTATAGTCATAACAGACTCGGGACATTGTGTGAGACAGGGACAAATCTATAGTCATAACAGACTCGGGACATTGTGTGTGACAGGGACAAATCTATAGTCATAACAGACTCAGGACATTGTGTGTGACAGGGACAAATCTATAGTCATAACAGACTCGGGACATTGTGTGTGACAGGGACAAATCTATAGTCATAACAGACTCTGGACATTGTGTGTGACAGGGACAAATCTATAGTCATAACAGACCCAGGACACTGTGTGGCAGGGACGCTGTCCTACAGGGACAACCCAACAGTCACTAGACCCAGAACACTGTGCGGCAGGGACGCTGTCCTACAGGGACAACCCAACAGTCACTAGACCCAGAACACTGTGCGGCAGGGACGCTGTCCTACAGGGACAACCCAACAGTCACTAGACCCAGGACACTTTGTGGCAGGGACGCTGTCCTACAGGGACAACCCAACAGTCAGTAGACCCAGGACACTGTGTGGCAGGGATGCTGTACTACAGGGACAACCCAACAGTTGCCAGATCCAGGACACTGTGTGGCAGGGACGCTGTCCTACAGGGACAACCCAACAGTCAGTAGACCCAGGACACTGTGTGGCAGTACCACGAAGTTAGAGCAGAGAGAGTATTATAATTAATAATTGCATTACACAAGATTAGGGACGGCAAATATAACTGTACTATCCAGCTGTGGCCATGAACACCAGTAAGTCTAAGTTAAGAGAAGTGATGGGCCTTATAGGTGATTCAGTTAATGATTCAGACCATGTGCCATAGAGTGTTCTGTCTGCAATGTTCCTGATTCTGGGGAGGGGGTTTAGTGGTACCTACAGAACCACCAAGTGGTCCCTATAGGGTGTGGGAGGGTGTATAAGGAGGGTCACACATGCCAAGCTACCATTCTTTGTGAGAAGTGAGAGAGACAGGAGGTGCTAGAAGACATAAATGTGACAATGCTCGTACATATCAGCTAAGGAGTCCCCATAGGTGTACCTGTGGAGGGCATCTCTCATATTCTTAAATCGCCCATCTGACGATACCAGCACCTGAAGACGTTCAATCATTTGTTTAGTCTGAAAAGATTAAAGGTCATTATTGAGAAAACAAATACATATGAAGAAAAATATAAAAATCCTTTTAAGTGTTCCTGGCAGGAACCAATATATTGTTATGATTTTTAAGTAATTTTTTGGTTATTCTGTAATTAATAAGCTTACTTTTTCCTGTAATAATTATCAATTTGGTAGTGTATCAATGGAGAGAAAAATAGTTGTGACAAAGACCTGTTTGGAGAGTTTTTCCCATGTCTTTTTCAGTCTGTAGACAGAACTGTTGACAAAGGCAGCACAGATCTGGAGCACACCATTGTAGTTATGCATACAGCGACAGATATCAGCAATGGCTGCCCACTTCTCTATACAGGAGACACGGTCCTGTAGGTTCTGCCGGCCCACGATTTCTGACACAACCAGCCGGCTAACCTGGCAACAAAGAAAACCATGGAAACCTGATGTTATTTCCAGTCCTAGACATCAATTTGAAAATATAGTTTGTTTCTGACTCTCAAATACTTTAGTTATGATACAAATCACCAATTCATCTTAATGAAGAATGTTACAACAATGATATTTTGCTGTTTTATTTCATTGAATTTTTACAAAGTGAGATATATACTGACCTCGTTGAAGCGCTTGCTGACCAGAAGAACATGTGGGGCTTTGTGGGATTTATCTTGCTTCATCCACGCCTGACCCAGTAATTCTCTACCGAAACACAATGAAACAATATTAACAAGCTGACTTATTCACTCCTTAATAATACAGATAGTTCCTGATCTCACTGTACTGAGAAACACAAACTAGTCTGTGTAGGATCAAACTACACATCACAGATCTTCACCTACAGATAGTTCCTGATCTCACTGTACTGAGAAACACAAACTAGTCTGTGTAGGATCAAACTACACATCACAGATCTTCACCTACAGATAGTTCCTGATCTCACTGTACGGAGAAACACAAACTGTGTAGATCAAACTACACAGATCTTCACCTACAGATGGTTCCTGATCTCACTGTACTGAGAAACACAAACTAGTCTGTCTAGGATCAAACCACACATCACAAATCTTTACTCGCGAATACATCATCATAGTGCTTGCCAGACCGATCAATCACAGTCCCCTAAATATAACATGTTGACAAAGTAGGAATACATATAAAGAACTCATTGATATTTTGTGATTTTAACTCAACTTAATACCTGTGTATATACCTTACTGATATGTTGGTATACTTACTCGCTACGAATGCCTATATATATTTTGTGGTCGAGGTAGGTAAGCTGCTCTGCTATGTCTAACGCTGAGAGAGTGTCGAATGTGTCCTTCGTTGAAACCTTTCATAAAAATATAGTGAAATTTTTAGTATTTTCACCCTCATAGGTCATTCATTTTTTACACTGATAGGTAATTATCGATCACCCTTATTGACAATTGATTGTTCACCTTCAAGGTCATTACTTATTCATTCTGAAGGTCATTAATTGTTCAGGTAAGTTAAGTGAGGTCAACTTACCATGACCATTTTATGTATATGACTTACCTCTGGTGGGGTGAGGAGTTTAGTGAGGTCAACCTTCTTTATTTCCTCGTTGTCCTTGGTGATAGTGCGTAGGATTGAGGCAGCAGCCTTCTGCTCTGTTGGAACTAGTGATGTGTTGCATGCCATCTCTTCTAGCATATCAATCACAGCTCGCTTTAGCTCAAGGTCACACTCAAAGTCCTGTAAAATGGATCAGATCAAATATAAAATTTGTATAAATGTGAAATATCACTTGACCAGTAAACTAAGTCATGTTTTAGATCAAAGTTTAAAATGATGTGGTATATTCAAGCTTTTAAAGATCTCCCTAAATCCTGAAGACACTAAGTAGTATACACAAGTCAAGACAAAGGTTTGGAAGCTTATATGATCAAACTGAGAATTAACTAATCCTGCTGGAAATAGGAGACTCCCTGTATGATCTATATATACCTGTTGGTGTTTGGAGACCCAATGTTTGATGATGTTTAGAACACGCATTGTTGCTGCTGTGCTGATGACAGATTCACGCTTCTTAAGAAGACGAGGATCAGTGACAACTGAAAATAGAAATCAGAATCTGAAATGGTGATATACAGCAGTACGTTACAGCTACTGTTATGGTACATCATGTCAGTATTACAGCAGTACCTTACAGATACTGTTATGGTACATCATGTCAGTATTACAGCAGTACCTTACAGCTACTGTTATGGTACATCATGTCAGTATTACAGCAGTACCTTACAGATACTGTTATGGTACATCATGTCAGTATTACAGCAGTACCTTACAGCTACTGTTATGGTACATCATGTCAGTATTACAGCAGTACCTTACAGCTACTGTTATGGTACATCATGTCAGTATTACAGCAGTACCTTACAGCTACTGTTATGGTACATCATTTCAGTATTACAGCAGTACCTTAAAGCTACTGTTATGGTACATCATGTCAGTATTACAGCAGTACCTTACAGCTACTGTTATGGTACACAATGTCAGTATTACAGCAGTACCTTACAGATACTGTTATGGTACATCATGTCAGTATTACAGCAGTACCTTACAGCTACTGTTATGGTACATCATGTCAGTATTACAGCGGTACCTTACAGATACTGTTATGGTACATCATGTCAGTATTACAGCAGTACCTTACAGCTACTGTTATGGTACATCATGTCAGTATTACAGCAGTACCTTACAGCTACTGTTATGGTACACCATGTCAGTATTACAGCAGTACCTTACAGCTACTGTTATGGTACACCATGTCAGTATTACAGCAGTACCTTACAGCTACTGTTATGGTACACCATGTCAGTATTACAGCAGTACCTTACAGCTACTGTTATGGTACACCATGTCAGTACTACAGCAGTACCTTACAGCTACTGTTATGGTACACCATGTCAGTATTACAGCAGTACCTTACAGCTACTGTTATGGTACACCATGTCAGTATTACAGCAGTACCTTACAGATACTGTTATGGAACATCATGTCAGTATTACAGCAGTACCTTACAGATACTGTTATGGTACACCATGTCAGTATTACAGCAGTACCTTACAGCTACTGTTATGGTACACCATGTCAGTATTACAGCAGTACCTTACAGCTACTGTTATGGTACATCATGTCAGTATTACAACGGTACCTTACAGATACTGTTATGGTACATCATGTCAGTACTACAGCAGTACCTTACAGCTACTGTTATGGTACATCATGTCAGTATTACAGCAGTACCTTACAGCTACTGTTATGGTACATCATGTCAGTATTACAGCAGTACTTACATTTGGTACATCATGTCAGTATTACAGCAGTACCTTACAGCTACTGTTATGGTACATCATGTCAGTATTACAGCAGTACCTTACAGCTACTGTTATGGTACATCATGTCAGTATTACAGCAGTACTTACAGTTGGTACATCATGTCAGTATTACAGCAGTACCTTACAGCTACTGTTATGGTACATCATGTCAGTATTACAGCAGTACCTTACAGCTACTGTTATGGTACATCATGTCAGTATTACAGCAGTACCTTACAGCTACTGTTATGGTACATCATGTCAGTATTACAGCAGTACCTTACAGCTACTGTTATGGTACATCATGTCAGTATTACAGCAGTACCTTACAGCTACTGTTATGGTACATCATGTCAGTATTACAGCAGTACCTTACAGTTGGTACATCATGTCAGTATTACAGCAGTACCTTACAGCTACTGTTATGGTACATCATGTCAGTATTACAGCAGTACTTACAGTTGGTACATCATGTCAGTATTACAGCAGTACCTTACAGATACTGTTATGGTACATCATGTCAGTATTACAGCAGTACCTTACAGCTACTGTTATGGTACATCATGTCAGTATTACAGCGGTACCTTACAGCTACTGTTATGGTACACCATGTCAGTATTACAGCAGTACCTTACAGCTACTGTTATGGTACATCATGTCAGTATTACAGCAGTACCTTACAGATACTGTTATGGTACATCATGTCAGTATTACAGCAGTACCTTACAGATACTGTTATGGTACATCATGTCAGTATTACAGCAGTAACTTACAGATACTGTTATGGTACATCATGTCAGTATTACAGCAGTACCTTACAGCTACTGTTATGGTACATCATGTCAGTATTACAGCAGTACTTACAGTTGGTACATCATGTCAGTATTACAGCAGTACCTTACAGCTACTGTTATGGTACATCATGTCAGTATTACAGCAGTACCTTACAGATACTGTTATGGTACATCATGTCAGTATTACAGCAGTACCTTACAGATACTGTTATGGTACATCATGTCAGTATTACAGCAGTACCTTACAGATACTGTTATGGTACATCATGTCAGTATTATAGCAGTACCTTACAGATATTGTTATGGTACATCATGTCAGTATTACAGCAGTACCTTACAGATACTGTTATGGAACATCATGTCATGTCAGCTGTACTGAGATAATATTAACATATGGGAGTCCTGAGATAGAAGACTTACCAGCTCCTGTGCTGAGGTAATATTAACACTGAGGAGCTCTAAGATAGAAGACATACCAGTCCCTATACTGAGATAATATTAACATAAGGGAGTTCTGAGATAGAAGACTTACCAGCCCCTGTGATGAGGTAATATCAACATATAGGAGTTCTGAGATAGAAGACTTACCAGCCCCTGTGCTGAGGTAATATTAACACTGAGGAGCTCTAAGTTAAAAGACTTACCAGCCCCTGTGCTGAGGTAATATCAACACTGAGGAGCTCTAAGTTAAAAGACTTACCAGCCCCTGTGCTGAGGTAATATTAACACCGACCAGCTCTAAGATAGAAGACTTACCAGCCCCTATGCTAAGGTAATATTAACACTGACCAGCTCTAAGATAGAAGACTTACCAGCCCCTGTGCTGAGGTAATATTAACACTGACCAGCTCTAAGATAGAAGACTTACCAGCCCCTGTACTGAGGTATCGTTTAGGAGGTTGCTGAGGTGGCTGTGCAGGCAGGTTGGAGGACTGCTGAGGCTGTGTTGTAGGTGGCTGTATGACAGGCTGTCCCTGCTGTTGTTGCTGTTGTTGTTGTTCAGACTGATAAGCTGATCCCGCTGTAGCTACGGCAAATGCTGTCATGGCGGTGGAGGAGCTAGACCTAAAATCATTATATATCATAAAGACTTTTACAAACAAACCCTAGTTATTGACAAATTTGTACCTAAACTTTATGTACTAGGATTTCATACTTCAAGTACAACATGCAACTTTCATTTGTAGAGAGACAATTGCTTTATCAAAAATGATGTATTTGGCAGTTACAAATGAGTGTGATCTAGTATCACCTTCTTTACCCCGACTAACCTTCGTTTTGATCTGCGTGACGATGTAACAACAGCACCAGCCTTAGCAGATGGTGGGGAACCTTCAATCTGTGTTACAATACTGCTACGTGGTGTAATACTGCCAATCGACTCCACTTCTGTACTCCCACGCTTAGCTACAATATAGAGTAAACATCTCCATACTCCCTCCCTTAGCTACAATATAGAGTAAACATCTCCATACTCCCACGCTTAGCTACAATATAGAGTAAACATCTCCATACTCCCACGCTTAGCTACAATATAGAGTAAACATCTCCATACTCCCACGCTTAGCTACAATATAGAGTAAACATCTGCATACTCCCACCCTTAGCTACAATATAGAGTAAACATCTGCATACTCCCACCCTTAGCTACAATATAGAGTAAACATCTCCATACACCCACGCTTAGCTACAATATAGAGTAAACATCTCCATACTCCCACGCTTAGCTACAATATAGAGTAAACATCTCCATACTCCCACACTTAGCTACAATATAGAGTAAACATCTCCATACTCCCACGCTTAGCTACAATATAGAGTAAACATCTCCATACTCCCTCCCTTAGCTACAATATAGAGTAAACTAACACTAGCTACAATATAGTTAAAAGACTTACCAGCCCCTGTGCTGACAATATTAAACACTGACTCCCACACTTAGCTACAATATAGAGTAAACATCTCCAGCTCCCACCCTTAGCTACAATATAGAGTAAACATGGCTGTGCAGGCACCCACACTTAGCTACAATATAGGTAAACATCTGACAGGCTGTCCCTGCTTTGCTACAATATAGTTGTCAGACTGATAAGCTGATCCCGCTGTAGCTACGGCAAATGCTGTCATCGGTGGAGGAGCTAGACCTAAAATACATTATATATCAGTAAACATCTACAAACAAACCCTAGTTATTGACAAATTTGTACCTAAACTTTATGTACTAGGATTTCATACTTCAAGTACAACATGCAACTTTCATTTGTAGAGAGACAATTGCTTTATCAAAAATGATGTATTTGGCAGTTACAAATGAGTGTGATCTAGTATCACCTTCTTTACCCTGACTAACCTTCGTTTTGATCTGCGTGACGATGTAACAACAGCACCAGCCTTAGCAGATATAGAGTAAACATCTCCATACTCCTACGTGGTGTACAAATACTGTAAACACTCCATACTCCCACGCTTAGCTACAATATAGAGTAAACATCTCCATACTCCCACACTTAGCTACAATATAGAGTAAACATCTCCATACTCCCACACTTAGCTACAATATAGAGTAAACATCTCCATACTCCCACACTTAGCTACAATATAGAGTAAACATCTCCATACTCCCACGCTTAGCTACAATATAGAGTAAACATCTCCATACTCCCACACTTAGCTACAATATAGAGTAAACATCTCCATACTCCCACCCTTAGCTACAATATAGAGTAAACATCTCCATACTCCCTCCCTTAGCTACAATAGAGTAAACATCTCCATACTCCCACACTTAGCTACAATATAGAGTAAACATCTCCATACTCCCACGCTTAGCTACAATATAGAGTAAACATCTGCATACTCCCACGCTTAGCTACAATATAGAGTAAACATCTCCATACTCCCACCCTTAGCTACAATATAGAGTAAACATCTCCATACTCCCACCCTTAGCTACAATATAGAGTAAACATCTCCATACTCCCACACTTAGCTACAATATAGAGTAAACATCTCCATACTCCCACGCTTAGCTACAATATAGAGTAAACATCTCCATACTCCTGTGCTTAGCTACAATATAGAGTAAACATCTCCATACTCCTGTGCTTAGCTACAATATAGAGTAAATATTTGATATATAAATAAGTACGAGCCATTAGACTGTAAAATGACTTACTTGGTCTGATTTTGATATGTGGCATGAGGATGTTTGGTGATGACATACTGGCACTTATGGGTGAGGGCGCCCGCCGCGGCTTGGGACTAGAGCTTGGTGACCTACTGGGGGAGGAGAGGCGAGGTGATGAGGGGCGACGGCTCGGTGAGGTGGCCCGTGGTCCAGGGGATGATGGGCGCCGTGGTCCAGGGGATGATGGACGTCGAGGTCCTGGGGATGATGGGCGCCGTGGTCCCGGTGATGATGGTCGCCGTTGGCCTGGTGATATTGGTCGCCGTATGGGAGAGGAGATCTGATGGCTTGGTGAAGTAGATCTAATGGGGGAAGGGATTCTGATGGGAGAAGAGACAGGGTGTGGTTTGATCACTCGTATAGGACTACTAGTGGGAGACAATGCCAGAGCATCCAGAATCTTAAAATCTGACCCAGTAAACAAAGGTTTGCTTGGTGAACATGGTCTACGTGGGCTCATACTACGAGGAGAACCATTTGTATACCCGTGGATCATCCGAGGGCTGATACGGGGCGATGGCATAGGACTGATCCTTGGTGTGCCGGGGGTGAGAGTATCAGAACTTGCTGCTGACACAAGTGTATAAGAACTGCTCTGTCTTGTGTTTGACAAGTCATTTTCATTGTCAGATGATATGGCAAACTCTGTTGAATATTCACTATCAAAATCGTCCACTGAAGATTCGCCAGGAACATCAGGTAACATGATGCCTGTAGTCAACAAATCATTTGTTGTGATGGCAGGCACATCAGGAATGGTGATTTCTGGGTCACACAATGTCTCCAGGGAAGCGATCGGAGCCAGTTTTGCCCGTGGTGGGTAGAGATAGGAAGCCAGCTCTGACCTGCTATCATCACTATCGGCTGTGTCCACAGAATCTCCTCTCTCTACTGTAAAACATGTCAAAATCACTTACAATTCATTACAATGCAGAAACCACATATTTGAGGCCATTATCACTTTCAAGAGTTCTGAGAAATACAGTGGAGAAAATGTCAGATTTACTGTCGCTGATGGAATCACACCAATGACAACAGATACTTAAAATGCTTGCTCGTTACAGTATTACAGCTGCTTTTTTTATCATAACAGATTCCATCAACCAGGCTACACTGATCCTATACCACGACATCTTGTTAAATAATGTTATTTACAAACTCGTGTTGTGTATAATATATTGTAAATGAGAGTGTTGATGTTTACAAAAGTTGTTTATATCTTACACTTATGGAAGGACACTCGTCGTTGCTGTTCCTTGGGTTTGGTAGTCTCTGACTCCAAGTCCTTGGATTGTTGTTGAGTGTGTGGGGGTTTTGAAAGAGTTGACCCAGTGACCTCTATATTCATACACCCTGTACTGATTCTCCTTGGTTTCTCTGCATGTGGTTTAATCATGAGTTTATGAGTAGATGGAGGTTCCCCAGTGAACTGGGGAGGACTGCCTCCTCCGCCATAGATATCGGTATCTGATGAGGACCTGAAAGTCAATAACAATGGACCTTGATCTCTCTAATTTGAAAGTCAGTTGAACTTGATTTTAAATTTCTGTTTTTCAAATTACAGCCTTATATACCTGTATGAAGAATCAGAATATAAACCAATTGAAACAAAATGAAAGATGCACAGACAATATCAAGTTCTTAGTGTAATTGTGACACAATCAAACAAATAACACTTTGATACTTCTGTCAGAACCTTCCACCACCCTTTTAAATCAAAACATCTTTATATAACATATTTGTCATACTAAAAGCTGCAGACAAGATTTTCATATAAAAAAATCCAAAATCATAGCTGTGACCTCTTACATGTTTGAAATCTGATCCCCACTACTCGTTTATGTAAAAATAAATTGTTTGGCATTAATTGGAAATCTTAGATGTAATTTACTGACAGAAGAAGGGGATCCCAGTCCACGTGTTAAACTTTGACAGATATTTATTTACCTTCTTTCTGGGAGAGAACCCCCATTCAAGCTGTTAACCCCAATCCCAGGTGTTAAATTTGGACAGGTATATTTGACAGGAGAGGAACCATCATTCCAGGTGTTAATTTGGACAGGTCTATTTGACTTACTGACAGGAGGGGAATCCCCATTCCAGGTGTTAATTTGGACAAGTTTGTTTCTAACTTACTGACAGGAAGAGGACCCTGACTCCAGGTTGCCACACTCTGGGTTTTTATAGACACGTTTGAGGGCCTCTAAGACTGTCTTGCCAGTTGTAAAGACACGGTAGGTCAGTAGGAATGTGTTGAGGAAATCAATACTGAGGAACCTGAGATCTGTGAGGCGGTCCAACAACCGCTCAACGCTGGCATGACGAATCTGAAAGCGAAAGTAAGGGAGGATGTAGAACCATGGCAACAAAGTGATAATGCTCTCCTTGTCAGGTGAAAATTGTAGGAGATACATTGTATCTGACATAATGCTCTCCTTGTCAGGTGAAAATTGTAGGAGAAACATTGTATCTGACATAATGCTCTCCTTGTCAAGTGAAAATTGTAGGAGAAACATAACTGACATAATGCTCTCCTTGTCAGGTGAAAATTGTAGGAGAAACATAACTGACACAATGCTCTCCTTGTCAGGTGAACATTGTAGGAGAAAAAAAATGGTTTCATTGACAATGAAAGTAGTACAAGATACATATCTGACAACATGATGTCACTGACAGGTGAGAATTGTATGATATACATTGTATCTGACATAATGCTTACATTGACAGGTGAGAATTGTATGAGAAATATATCTGACACAATGGTTTCTCTGACAGGTGTTATTTGTATGAGATACTTACCTGACAAAATGGTTTCTCTGACAGGTGTTATTTGTATGAGATACATACCTGTGGGACTTTACAAGAGTTGAGTGTTCTACTAAACTTGATATCTACATCATCTCGGAATAATTTTGGATCTGACCTGTAAAAGAGAGATTTGTCAAATAAGGTATCCAGTTAGTAACTCTTTACAACATAATGTGAGTCCTTTATGCTGTAGAAATAAGTCAAATTAATATGATCATTTGAAGTGTCACCACCATGTAAACTATCATCATGGATGGTTCTATAAACAGCCTGATTTCCACTGATGTATCTATAGTGTTCTGTTTGTAGAAATGTCAGAGATAAATTGTTTTTTAGTGATGTAGATAAATATAGGTAAGTACAAAGTAAGGCACATATAAAGTACTGACATCCAATCAATACACAATCTACATATTAAAACAAAACTGAAAAAAGCAAGCTCTGACTAGCTCTACAAAGCAGCATTTAAACAAAGAAGTAGAGAGAAACACCTAACAGAAACAAAACAAGAAAATTAGACACAGTGAGGAGAGACAAAAGTGTAAGACACTAATGGCAATAAGACAATAGCCTTATAGACCAATGAGAGACAATAGCCTTATTGACCAGTGAGAGACAATAGCCTTATAGACCAATGAGAGACAGTAGCCTCATAGATCATTGAGAGACAATAGCCTTATAGACCATTGAGAGACAATAGCCTTATAGACCAATGAGAGACAGTAGCCTCATAGATCATTGAGAGACAATAGCCTTATAGACCATTGAGAGACAATAGCCTTATAGACCAATGAGAGACAATAGCCTTATAGACCAATGAGAGACAATAGTCTTATAGACCAATGAGAGACAATAGTCTTATTGACCAGAGAGAGACAATAGCCTTATAGACCATTGAGAGACAATGGCCTTATAGACCAATGAGAGACAATAGCCTTATAGACCATTGAGAGACAACAGCCTTATAGACCAATGAGAGACAATAGTCTTATTGACCAGTGAGAGACAATAGCCTTATAGACCAATGAGAGACAATAGTCTTATTGACCAGTGAGAGACAATAGCCTTATAGACCATTACGAGACAATAGTCTTATAGACCAATGAGAGACAATAGCCTTATAGATCATATAGAGACAACAGCCTTATAGACCAATGGGAGACTATAGCCTTATAGACCATATAGAGACAACAGCCTTATAGACCAATGGGAGACCATAGCCTTATAGACCAATGAGAGACAACAGCCTTATAGACCAATGGGAGACAATAGTCTTATAGACCAATGAGAGACAATAGCCTTATAGACCATTGAGAGACAACAGCCTTATAGACCAATGGGAGACTATAGCCATAATGACAATGAAGAGGCAATTGTTTAAATAGAATATTTATATGTTTTCATTTTCAAAATTGACCCAACACCACAGTGTTAACACTTGTTCACCAAGTTATAAATTAATTATTTCATTAAAAAAGTGTAATTTCCTTCACCAAGTTAGAATACCTACTGAGGTTAACATACTACAGTAAGGAGAAGCTATGACCCAACACCACAGTGTTAACACTTCCTTCACCAAGTTATAAATACCTACTGAGGTTAACATACTACAGTAAGGAGAAGCTATGACCCAACACCAGAGTGTGAACACTTCCTTCACCAAGTTATAAATACCTACTGAGGTTAACATACTACAGTAAGGAGAAGCTATGACCCAACACCACAGTGTTAACACTTCCTTCACCAAGTTATAAATACCTACTGAGGTTAACATACTACAGTAAGGAGAAGCTATGACCCAACACCACAGTGTTAACACTTCCTTCACCAAGTTATAAATAGCTACTGAGGTTAACATACTACAGTAAGGAGAAGCTATGACCCAACACCACAGTGTTAACACTTCCTTCACCAAGTTATAAATACCTACTGAGGTTCACATACTTACAGCTTTGACATGTGAGCTGTTTGTGGCACAGCCTTTCTCCATGAACGTATGTTATTGCGACGCGAACGAGCTGGTTTGTTGTCACATAGGGCACTCCTTAACACAATAAATACTGTGACTTAACCTTCAATACTGTCATAGACTAAATCTGAACCTCTGATATTGTCACAAACTAAATCTTAATTTCTAAGTCTGAACCTCCAACACTGTCACAAACTAAATCTCAATTTCTGAAGTCTGAACCTCCAACACTGTCACAAACTAAATCTTAATTTCTGAAGTCTGAACCTCCAACACTGTCACAAACTAAATCTTAATTTCTGAAGTCTGAACCTCCAACACTGTCACAAACTAAATCTTAATTTCTGAAGTCTGAACCTCCAACACTGTCACAAACTAAATCTTAATTTCTAAGTCTGAACCTCCAACACTGTCACAAACTAAATCTTAATTTCTGAAGTCTGAACCTCCAACACTGTCACAAACTAAATCTTAATTTCTGAAGTCTGAACCTCCAACACTGTCACAAACTAAATCTTAATTTCTAAGTCTGAACCTCCAACACTGTCACAAACTAAATCTTAATTTCTAAGTCTGAACCTCCAACACTGTCACAAACTAAATCTTAATTTCTGAAGTCTGAACCTCCAACACTGTCACAAACTAAATCTTAATTTCTAAGTCTGAACCTCCAACACTGTCACAAACTAAATCTTAATTTCTAAGTCTGAACCTCCAACACTGTCACAAACTAAATCTTAATTTCTAAGTCTGAACCTCCAACACTGTCACAAACTAAATCTTAATTTCTAAGTCTGAACCTCCAACACTGTCACAAACTAAATCTTAATTTCTGAAGTCTGAACCTCCAACACTGTCACAAACTAAATCTTAATTTCTAAGTCTGAATCTTCAATAATGTCACCCTGAATCTTAATTTCTAAGTCTGAACCTCCAACACTGTCACAAACTAAGTCTTAATTTCTAAGTCTGAACCTCCAACACTGTCACAAACTAAATCTTAATTTCTAAGTCTGAACCTCCAACACTGTCACAAACTAAATCTTAATTTCTGAATCTTAATTTCTAAAGTCTGAATCTTCAATAATGTCACCCTGAATCTTAATTTCTAAAGTCTGAATCTTCAATAATGTCACCCTGAATCTTAATTTCTAAAGTCTGAATCTTCAATAATGTCACCCTGAATCTGAAGCACCATATCTATACAACCTTAGTAAGACTACAACTCAATGAGAAAACAGAAAGGGATTGAATATTTCCAATATGTCATTGTTCACATAGAAAACTGGTTTTGTTTTCAGTGCTAGAATAGCCAATTAAAGACAATGAATTAATCAAACCAAATAACTTGTGGAGAGAGACTTTAACTGAATTAGTTTTGTGTAGACAAGTTCAAGATTTTATATAAACTTTGAGACTAAAGTGATTGCTTCTTTTAAATTGTGGAAACAAGAGGCCTAGCGGCCTTGATGGCTACCTGAGATAAGCAATTTTGAACATAAAAGTTAAAGGGTAGTTAACAAGTGTCATTAAACAGAAATTGTGACACTGAATAAAGTATGTCAGAATCTATACATGCATAGCATCAAAACTGTCATCCTATACTGATAGTTCTTACAAAGTGATTTCCAATAGGAAATAACCAACGGTATGTTCAAAAATGCAATTTTTTTTCTATGAAAATTACAGTAAAGTTTAAGAAGACTTCCTCCTAAAGAAGAAAAGTGAGACCCATTTTGGTAATTAAACCACCTTAAGATACAGAGCATTTGAATCTATCATATCTGGTTATTGAGGAAAAGATAATTGAAATCTGAGTCAATTTGACCCGTTTTCGCCCCACCCATCAGTCCCTTGGGAGTCAGCCAGGATCAATATGAGTATACCACTAAGCCATCATCCTAAGCTCATAATTTTTACCAAGTTTGAAATATTTCCAATGGAAATTAAACAAATTATGCTAAAAAACCTATTTTTCCTATATAAACTCTAATAAACTTGAACCCCTCCCCACGGGGAAATGTGAGACCCTGGGGCCATGAAATTCACAATTTTGGTAAAGCCACTAAGATGCTTCCATCCATGAAGAGCATGAAGAGTATTTGATTTTACCATATCTGGGTGTTGAGATTCAATTTGACCACTTTTGGCCCCGCCCCTTACGTCCCTTTGTGATGGGGACAGTATAATTCATACTTTTTGTTCATCTTAGGCCAGGGAAGGTTTCTGCTAAATTTCATTTAAATCCGATCAGGAGCTTTCAATAAGAAGTCGAACGACACAGAATGCCAGACCCCAGATGAAGGTGATCGCCATAGGTCACGAAGAGACTTTTCTTGACTTAAAAATCCAATACACTTTTTTCATTTAAGTAACTATGACAACATGAAATGGTTAGGACAGGTGATCTGTCCTTCTACCATAGTAAAGTAGACATATTACATCACTAAACTATTTACTGCCATCTTGAAGACACATTCCAAGGTCATTATCATTACAATATAACACAATCCACATTTTAGAATACCATGTGATGTTTAGGTAGCTACCTGACAGACTGGGGCATCATGACATTTTAGAATACCATGTGATGTTTAGGAACCTACCTGACAGACTAGGGCATCGTGACATTTTAGAATACCATGTGATGTTTAGGCACCTACCTGACAGACTGGGGCATCGTGACATTTTAGAATACCATGTGATGTTTAGGTACCTACCTGACAGACTGGGGCATCGTGACATTTTAGAATACCATGTGATGTTTAGGTACCTACCTGACAGACTGGGGCATCGTGACATTTTAGAATACCATGTGATGTTTAGGCACCTACCTGACAGACTGGGGCATCGTGACATTTTAGAATACCATGTGATGTTTAGGTACTTACCTGACAGGCTGGGGCATCGTGACATTTTAGAATACTATGTGATGTTTAGGTACCTACCTGACAGACTGGGGCATCGTGACAGAAGATGACTCACTCATGGAGGTATTGAGCAAATCACTGTAGTGCAAGTTTTCAATACACTGCAAAGGACAACAGAAATTGAATATAGACCAAATACGAAAGTGATAATCAAAACATCGAGATTATTCACAATGATACTATTTAATTGTCTGCTGGTGAATTGTTTGTGTCTCTAAAACTAATATCTACCAATATACTAAGGACTGTACAAAAATATACCACAAGGTCTTGCATATTATCATACATTTTCTTGCTGTTTTTCTAATATCAATTATAAGAAAACTTTTTTGTCATTGTCCCAACTTCATTTTTTGTATTTTCATCATTTATGTGTAAGAATCATGAAATAACACAATGCCTACAGATAAGAAACACAGACATATATATATATATTGCCAGCAAAGGATTGTAAAGGCAAAGTAGACTCTTTTATAAATGTGCTCTCCATGATCAGAGTACAAATGGAAAATGCAAAGATCTGCATGAAACCAGGTTTAATTGCAGAAAAAATCTGTTGAAATAAAAAATAAACTAAACACACATGGTTTTAATATACCAAGTTTCACTAAAATCTTTGAGATACTTTATAATTATGATAACAGACATGTGTTATTTCCATAAAGGGACATAACTCTACATAAATGAAAAGAGAATGTACCTGACTGATATCGCTGCACCAGGCAATCTTCTCCTGGTGGGTTGAGGCCACGAGAGTGATAGTGGTGGGTGGGCCACTTTTGGAGTCAACTATGATCTTGAAGTCTAGTCCATTGTAATCCGGGCGAGAGTCCCTTTCACAGGACTGGGTAGACAGAAGAGTGGCACCAGACGTTACACTTAGTAAACTGAAGCTTGAGTCCACTGAAACAGCTAAAAGATCAATGATATCACTTAGAAATTGTGTTTCATAGCACTTTCTGTATATCCATCTTTTCTGTATTAGAATCAACAACCTTGACCTTAACCACCCTGCTTTACTTTCAGGTACAATGACCTTGGCATTGTTCTTTTGTTCTATATGTTTGTATATTAGAATGATGTAAAATACTTACTCTCGTCGTCAAAGAAGCAAATTTCTGTGCTTGGGTCCTCAATCAGTGTACAGTCAATCAGAGGGATCTTTCCATAATGCTGCAATATAAACATATAACTATGACAACAGGGAAGATAATTCCAAATTATCTTAACAATACCATATGTAGTCTATATGGCAGAAAAACAAATTCTAATATTTATTAGGTTTAAAAAAGCACACAAAATTAAACCAGTTTATAGGGCAGGTAACTCTGTCTATACAATCATGACTATTACAAGGGCAAATAACTCATACTGATCTTAATGTGATCATAACTGATTGGAAAGCAGACAAGGTATACAAATGTAAATATATTATCATGATTAACAGAGGGCAGATAACCCATACTAATTCTAATGTTATCATGACTAATTAGTGGACAGACAACCCATACAGATTATGATTCACAGAAGGGCAGATAACCCATACTAATTCTAATGTTATCATGACTAATTAGTGGACAGACAACCCATACAGATTATGATTCACAGAAGGGCAGATAACCCATACTAATTCTAATGTTATCATGACTAAGTAGTGGACAGACAACCCATACAGATTATGATTAACAGAAGGGCAGATAACCCATACTAATTCTAATGTTATCATGACTAAGTAGTGGACAGACAACCCATACAGATTATGATTAACAGAAGGGCAGATAACACAAACAAAATTTAATGTTACAAACATTAACATAACCATGACTGAAAATCGTGTTTCTTTGATTCATAATTTAATGAGGGCAGATAACTCCGACAAATCTTTATAAAACAAGAGGGCCATATCACTAACCTAGTTAAATTCATTAAGATTGCTACATCTAAACTAAATGAAAAGATTTATATATTTTCCATACACAGCCTTGCCACTCTCAACTACGAGGAGGAGATCCACCATTTACACAATACTTATTGTCCTTCAATCAAGGATGCTTCTGAATGAATTGGGACATAATCCAGGCATTTGTACAAAAGCAAAAAAAGGATTTTGAAGAATTGATTTTTTTACTTCACCATGGCAATAGGACAGATAACTCCTACCAACTTTAACATTATCATGACAATTTGACAGATATCTCTTACAAATTTTCACATTGGGGCAGCTTTAACCAGGAACAACAAAAGGATGGCTATTTTTTATATAAACAATACGATAAGAAGTTTTCAAGATTCAATCTTGTCATTCATAAACAGTTATACAGAATAATACCAACAAAAAAGTAGTCAACATTATTCTTTATGGAATCCTCTTCTGCTGATGGTTTCAGCTGATATTGTTGACTTTAACCTTCCTTCATTGGTAAAAGTATTCTATAATGTTGGTAAATGTGACCTCTAAGTCACCTCTAGCTACAAGTAACACAAAACATGCCTGATACTGAAGATGGCTTCAGCAAACTCCTCATATTGTTATCATCATTTTGTTGTTGTTGGTTGTTTCCTGTATCAGGACACAGCCATTTATACATTAGACAATCTTATATGATCATTTGCTACACTTCGAAATCTCCTCTGTATATAATCCTGCACAAAGGCAAGAACATTTTCCATCCATCGTTTTTCAAAAGTATCAAGAATGCAAAGAGGGACACCACCAGTCAGGAAGAAGCCACCTTCACAAATATCAGCATTGTAACAGACTATATACAAAATAGTATTACTGTGTAAATGATCAAATAATAGGTGAAGAACTAAACCATTTTTGCATGTCTCTATATAATGTGAATGTGCATTTACAACATCAACGACATTTGGTGATCAGCATTTTCAATATTTTCTCTCATAATTTGCACAAACCTTCCCAATGCGCGCGCGCGCACACACACACACACACACACACACACACACACACACACACACACACACACACACACACACACACACACACATATATATATATATATATATATATATATATTATTAAGCACACAATTTTGTGAATGTATGATGCATTGAATTAGTATGTTGTATACTTAATGTATCTACAATTTATCAGAGTCTGTCCTGTATAGGATGTATCATTCATGTATTTAAAAATTCTATCATATATTAAGTGAATTTACAATGTACATAATATATTTAAAAATTCTATCATATATTAAGTGAATTTACAATGTACATAATATATTTAAAAATTCTATCATATATTAAGTGAATTTACAATGTACATAATATATTTAAAAATTCCATCATGTATTAAGTGAATTTACAATGTACATAATGTATTTAAAAATTCTATCATGTATTAAGAGAATTTACAGTGTACATAATGATACAGTCATACATTTGTCATGCATTTCATGCATTTAGTGAGTTTGTCCTACTTTTAATGACACCTACCATATATCTAATTAGTCTGTCATGCATTAAATGACCCTGTTATACATTTCATGTTTGTGCCATAATTTTAATGAGTTTGCCATTGCCTTCCTTTTTTTCATTAATCAAATTTCATTTATTAAAGTTTTTCCAACTTATATTAATCGCTCTTGTTGGCCAGAATGAGCGTGCTCAAGGGGTCTTACTGTGGAAGAAAATGGAAATACCCATGAAAAACCCACGTGATTGGAAATTGAATCCATGATGCCTAGGTGAAAGGTGAGTGTGTTTCCATTGCGTCACCTGAACATCCATTGTATTGAATGGGTTTTCCATATATTTAATTAGCCGATCATGCATTAACAAGTCTGCTACATATCTAATGAGTATGCCACATATTTAATTATTCTGTAGCTGATGAGTATGTTGTGTGTCAATGTCTCCCATGTATTTCATGAGTCTTTCACTTTTTTAATGGGTGCCCCATGTATTTTTTGCCATGTGGTGACCATTAAATCAATCTGCTACGTTTTTAATGACTAATTTGGGTGTGAATTTGATGGGTTTCTCATGAGTTCAATCTTATATATGTGTTTTAAAAAAATATTTTCTATTTAGAGAGCCTTTTGTGTCTTTAATGAGTTAAGTCATTTCACAGGTGTCCTGTGTATTTAATGTTTAATGAGTCTTAAAAATAAAAAAAAATATATATATATATATTTAATGAGTGATATTCATTCAATCAGGATGAAACGTTGGTAATTTGTTGTTTATTTCATTACAGATCTACAATGTATTAAATGAGTCTGCAAAATATTTTGATTTTAATGACCATTGTATCTGGAAATAATAAAAAACATTATTCTGTTACCTGAATTTAGAAATAAAAAATGCAGTGAATAAATTATTTCTTCAAAATATTGACCCTGCAATGTACATCATGTCAATCTAATTACCTGCAAAAGAGAGACAGTCAGTTTGATCAGTGACTATACAACAGGAATGTGTTTCCATGCAGTTTCTCAATAGTGGACACAATATCACGTAAAACAGATCAGTTGATATAAGGAAAACAAAAATGGGTGCCCCAGAAGGACTCGGGACATTATACAACATCACAAAGTGGAACAGACACCATGCTCCAGGTGTCCTAACAATTTGTCACATACAGCTTATGCGGAAAAACCCAGGGCATACAACAATTAATCTAGGGTCATACAGACAGAATGTTTGTGTGACATGCCAATCATACAAACCCTATGTATCACATTGTAACAATGAATTGCAAGTATTTCTGACCAACAACTTAGAGGGTCAGTTCTGGAGAGAATTGACCAACTAATGAGTTAAAGATTGTTAGAATAGAAGTATAAATAAGAAGCTCGTAGACCCTAATGTTCACCTCAGTGGCTTGTTGTGACCTGACCCAAGGATTAAAATGTTAACAAAGCAGAAATTCTTGTACTGGTAATGTCAATATATTATAGCAAAATTGCTGACAAATTCATTTTCAAACTAAATTTGAGCTTCATCCTTCAGATTCCTGAGGTGGATTCATATATTTATAACTTTCACTTCATCCTTCAGGTTCCTGAGGTGGATTAATATATTTATAACTTTCACTTCATCCTTCAGATTCCTGAGGTGGATTCATATATTTATAACTTTCACTTCATCCTTCAGGTTCCTGAGGTGGATTAATATATTTATAACTTTCACTTCATCCTTCAGATTCCTGAGGTGGATTCATATATTTATAACTTTCACTTCATCCTTCAGGTTCCTGAGGTGGATTAATATATTTATAACTTTCACATTAACAAACTACGCATTGCGAGTTATTTCTAACTAATGATTAATAAAATATTCTTAATCATTTAGCTTAGTTAATTACATTTCAAGTTTATCATTGGCCACAAAACCTCGCTAAACATTATAATCAAAATCCCTGTAACAAGAAGTCAGAAATCTGAAAATGTGAACAGGCAATGAAAGACAAAGATTAATCAGAAAAGGTGACTGAGCTCTGCTCAGATGAACTAAAATCACAGAGTCAGAAGTGACAAGAAAAGATAGGAGGTTAGGTAAGGAGTGATCCACAGAAAAGGGAGACAACTACTGCAAGACAACTATAACACTATCAGTCAACACGGCACAGACACAACCCCAGCTACTGTAGACCAGTGTGATGGTGGAGACAACCCCTAACTACTGTAGATCAGTGTGATGGTGGAGACTACCCCTAGCTACTGTAGACCAGTGTGATTGTGGAGACTATCCCTAACTACTGTAGACCAGTGTGATGGTGGAGACTATCCCTAACTACTGTAGACCAGTGTGATGGTGGAGACTATCCCTAACTACTGTAGACCAGTGTGATGGTGGAAACTATCCCTAACTACTGTAGACCTACTGTAGACCAGTGTGATGGTGGAGACTATCCCTAACTACTGTAGACCAGTGTGTTGGTGGAGACTACCCCTAACTACTGTAGACCAGTGTGATGGTGGAGACTATCCCTAACTACTGTAGACCAGTGTGATTGTGGAGACTGACCCTAACTACTGTAGACCAGTGTGATGGTAGAGACTACCCCTAACTACTGTAGACCAGTGTGATTGTGGAAACTATCCCTAACTACTGTAGACCAGTGTGATGTCGGAGACTATCCCTAACTACTGTAGACCAGTGTGATGGTGGAGACTATCCCTAACTACTGTAGACCAGTGTGTTGGTGGAGACTACCCCTAACTACTGTAGACCAGTGTGATGGTGGAGACTACCCCTAACTACTGCAGACCAGTGTGATGGTGGAGACTACCCCTAACTACTGTAGACCAGTGTGATGGTGGAGACAACCCCTAACTACTGTAGATCAGTGTGATGGTGGAGACTACCCCTAGCTACTGTACACCAGTGTGATGGTGGAGACTATCCCTAACTACTGTAGACCAGTGTGATGGTGGAGACTACCCCTAACTACTGTAGACCAGTGTGATGGTGGAGACTATCCCTAACTACTGTAGACCAGTGTGATGGTGGAGACTATCCCTAACTACTGTAGACCAGTGTGATTGTGGAGACTGACCCTAACTACTGTAGACCAGTGTGATGGTAGAGACTACCCCTAACTACTGTAGACCAGTGTGATTGTGGAAACTATCCCTAACTACTGTAGACCAGTGTGATGTCGGAGACTATCCCTAACTACTGTAGACCAGTGTGATGGTGGAGACTATCCCTAACTACTGTAGACCAGTGTGTTGGTGGAGACTACCCCTAACTACTGTAGACCAGTGTGATGGTGGAGACTATCCCTAACTACTGTAGACCAGTGTGATTGTGGAGACTGACCCTAACTACTGTAGACCAGTGTGATGGTAGAGACTACCCCTAACTACTGTAGACCAGTGTGATTGTGGAAACTATCCCTAACTACTGTAGACCAGTGTGTGTGATGTCGGAGACCAGTGTGTTGGTGGAGACTACCCCTAACTACTGTAGACCAGTGTGATGGTGGAGACTACCCCTAACTACTGCAGACCAGTGTGATGGTGGAGACTACCCCTAACTACTGTAGACCAGTGTGATGGTGAAGACTACCCCTAACTATTGTAGACCAGTGTGATGGTGGAGACTATCCCTAACTACTGTAGACCAGTGTGATGGTGGGGACTACCCCTAACAACTGTAGACCAGTGTGATGGTGGAGACTATCCCTAGCTACTGTAGACCAGTGTGATGATGGAGACTATCCCTAACTACTGTAGACCAGTGTGATGGTGGAGACTATCCCTAACTACTGTAGACCAGTGTGATGGTGGAGACTATCCCTAACTACTGTAGACCAGTGTGATGGTGGAGACTACCCCTAACAACTGTAGACCAGTGTGATGGTGGAGACTATCCCTAGCTACTGTAGACCAGTGTGATGGTGGAGACTATCCCTAACTACTGTAGACCAGTGTGATGGTGGAGACTATCCCTAACTACTGTAGACCAGTGTGATGGTGGAGACTATCCCTAACTACTGTAGACCAGTGTGATGGTGGAGACTATCCCTAACTACTGTAGACCAGTGTGATGGTGGAGACTACCCCTAACTACTGTAGACCAGTGTGATGGTGGAGACTACCCCTTACTACTGTAGACCAGTGTTATGGTGGAGACTACCTCTGCTGTAGTGATGATGATGATGATGATGATGATGATGATGATGATGATGATGATGATGATGATGATGATGATGATGATGATGATGATGATGATGACAATGATGTTGATGATGATCTCACCTACTGTTTATCAAATTCTACACTGAAGCTGTGTTCACTCTGTAAAATCTATAATGCCTGCTGCAGACAAAGGTATATATAGATTCCTAGCAGCTATTTTCAGAACAACCATGTCACACTTGCTTGACCAAAACAAGCAGATCTATCCTGAGAAAAATTATTGTCCTGTGAGGATGGAGGGAGGAACACTCAAACTTGTGAATTGAATTTTTGATATGTTGCATTACTATAACTATAGACTGAGTATTTCTAACAACTGATCTTACTACAAAGGATGGTGATGTGTCTCATTATCAATACTGAGGGCACTGACAATGGCTACAGTATATTGATCAGTATCCACTTTGAATCTGTCTTAATCAGACAGTTAGGTCTGTCCAAATGTCCGTCTGTGTATCTGTGTAGTTAGACAGTTAAGTCTGTCCAAATGTCCGACTGTGTTTCTGTGTAGTAAGACAGTTAGGTCTGTCCAAATGTCCAACTGTGTATCTGTGTAGTTAGACAGTAAGGTCTGTCCAAATGTCTGACTGTGTATCTGTGTAGTTAGACAGTCAGGTCTGTCCAAATATCCGACTGTGTATCTGTGTAGCTAGACAGTTAAGTCTGTCCAAATGTCCTACTGTGTATCTGTGTAGTTTGACAGTTAGGTCTGTCCAAATGTCAGACTGTGTATCTGTGTAGTTTGACAGTTTGGTCTGTCCAAATGTCCTACTGTGTATCTGTGTAGTTTGACAGTTAGGTCTGTCCAAATGTCAGACTGTGTATCTGTGTAGTTTGACAGTTTGGTCTGTCCAAATGTCCTACTGTGTATCTGTGTAGTTTGACAGTTAGGTCTGTCCAAATGTCCTACTGTGTGCCTATGTAGGCTGACTGATAGGTATGTCCAAATGTCCTACTGTGTGCCTATGTAGGTATGTCCAAATGTCCTACTGTGTGCCTATGTAGGCAGACTGATAGGTCTGTCCAAATGTCCTACTGTGTGCCTATGTAGGCTGACTGATAGGTATGTCCAAATGTCCTACTGTGTGCCTATGTAGGCAGACTGATAGGTCTGTCCAAATGTCCTACTGTGTGCCTATGCAGGCAGACTGATAGGTCTGTCCAAATGTCCTACTGTGTGCCTATGTAGGCTGACTGATATGTATGTCCAAATGTCCTACTGTGTGCCTTTGTAGGCAGACTGATAGGTCTGTCCAAATGTCCTACTGTGTGCCTATGCAGGCAGACTGATAGGTCTGTCCAAATGTCCTACTGTGTGCCTATGTAGGCAGACTGATAGGCCTGTCCAAATGTCCTACTGTGTGCCTATGTAGGCAGACTGATAGGTCTGTCCAAATGTCCTACTGTGTGCCTATGTAGGCAGACTGATAGGTCTGTCCAAATGTCCTACTGTGTGCCTATGTAGGCAGACTGATAGGTCTGCTCAAGTGTCTGATTTTTCTTGATTTTTTTTGTATTGTAAAAAGTTTTGTTGTGGTGATTAGTTATCCAGGTTTCTCTGTAACAGAGTCCAGAGCCAATGTTCCATGTTCATGAGTCACTGACAATAACATAACGACCATCAACAATAGATATCCCGTTTCATAAACAAAACACATCATTTTTCTCTTAAATCTGGATTCCATTACAATCTTGTGATGACTGAAATTGTGGGTAAAATCAATACACCCAGAACAGACTCAATCTACATGACAACTAAGCCCCCATCATTAGCCATTGTAATGATACTTAATTCATAGACCAGGAAGAAAATAAAAGAACAGTGATTGGTTAAAAATGTGATCGCTTCAAAATAACAGGCATTGTGATTGGTTGCATTTTTCTAACACACATTGTTATTGGTGGGATGATTGTCTAAATGGCAGACAGATTTAGTCTCTTACCTGTCTATCTTTGGGCAAAATCTGTGAATCAAATTTAGACAAAGATAGAAGATCATCTCTGTTTGTGGTATCAAATAATTTACGGCAGTATGTCACAAATCATCGTAAATATTTGTCCTTTGTTGAGAAATAATACAAAGCCTTCCAAGGTTCTAAACTAGTACTTGTATCTTACATCTAATTATTTTATATTCTACATCTAACTTTTTGAATTCCTATTTGATCAGGCTATTTATATCTTTTATCTGATTATGTCATTTTTATCTCACATCAGATCAAGCCATTTATAACCTGATCAGTCTACTTATATACTATATCTGATCAGTCTATTTATATCTTACTTCTGATCAGGCCATTGATGTCCTACAAATCTAATTATCTCAATTTAATCCTATCTTTACCTCCAAGTTTGATTAACTTTCTTCTTTACCTCAATTATCCCCCTCTTCTCATCTTCTCACATTACCATCTCCCCTCTCCCCCTCCTTATATCCTAAAAATCCTATCTTAATTATTTACCATCTGACAGTATATCTCTCTTTCTTAGCTAAAAATATGATCTCCCCTTCCTTATCACCAATCTGCTTTATTTCCCCGTGTTACCTTCAATCTTTAACTGATCTTGACCCCCAATCTTCACATAATCTTTACCCTCATCTTTACCCAATTTTTACCCCCTCCCCCCTCTTCCCTTGTTAACAATCCTGACAAATCATTTTCCCTTGTTAACAATCCTGACAAATCATCTTCCCTTGTTAACAATCCTGACAAATCATCTTCCCTTGTTAACAATCCTGACAAATCATCTTCCCTTGTTAACAATCCTGACAAACCATCTTCCCTTGTTAACAATCCTGACAAACCATCTTCCCTTGTTAACAATCCTGACAAATCATCTTCCCTTGTTAACAATCCTGACAAATCATCTTCCCTTTGTTAACAATCCTGACAAATCATCTTCCCTTTGTTAACAATCCTGACAAACCATCTTCCCTTGATAACAATCCTGACAAATCATCTTCCCTTGTTAACAATCCTGACAAACCATCTTCCCTTTGTTAACAATCCTGACAAACCATCTTCCCTTGTTAACAATCCTGACAAATCATCTTCCCTTGTTAACAATCCTGACAAATCATCTTCCCTTGTTAACAATCCTGACAAACCATCTTCCCTTGTTAACAATCCTGACAAATCATCTTCCCTTGTTAACAATCCTGACAAACCATCTTCCCTTTGTTAATAATCCTGACAAATCATCTTCCCTTGTTAACAATCCTGACAAACCATCTTCCCTTGTTAACAATCCTGACAAATCATCTTCCCTTGTTAACAACCCTGACAAATCATCTTCCCTTTGTTAACAATCCTGACAAACCATCTTCCCTTGTTAACATTCCTGACAAACCATCTTCCCTTGTTAACAATCCTGACAAATCATCTTCCCTTGTTAACAATCCTATCTCCCTTGTTAAAAATCTGTTCTGACAAACCATCTTCCCTTGTTAACAATCCTGACAAACCATCTTCCCTTGTTAACAATCCTGACAAATCATCTTCCTGACTAGTTATCTACTCCTGATTATTTTGCTAACATGCTATTGTCCTCTGGTTATCTCCCTTACAAATTACTGTTCCCTGCTTATCTACCTTACAAATAAATATTGTCCTCTGGTTATCTCCCTTACAAATTACTGTTCCCTGCTTATCTCCCTTACAAATAAATATTGTTCCCTGCTTATCTCCCTTACAAATTACTGTTCCCTGCTTATCTCCCTTAAAAACTACTGTTTTCTGCTTATCTCCCTTAAAAACTACTGTTCTCTACTTATCTCCCTTACAAATAAATATTGTTCCCTGCTTATCTGCCATACATATTACTGTTCCCTGCTTATCTCCCTTAAAAACTACTGTTCTCTACTTATCTCCCTTAAAAACTACTGTTTTCTGCTTATCTCCCTTAAAAACTACTGTTCCCTGCTTATCTCCCTTAAAAACTATTGTTCTCTACTTATCTCCCTTAAAAACTACTGTTTTCTGCTTATCTCCCTTAAAAACTACTGTTCCCTGCTTATCTCCCTAAAAAACTATTGTTCTCTACTTATCTCCCTTACAAATTACTGTCCCCTGCTTATCTGCCATACATATGACTATTCCCTGCTTATTGCCCATACATATTACTGTTCCCTGCTATCTGCCATACATATTACTGTTCCCTGCTATCTGCCATACATATTACTGTTCCCTGCTTATCGCCAATACATATTACTGTTCCCTGCTTATTGCCCATACATATTGCTGATCCCTGCTATCTGCCATACATATGACTATTCCCTGCTTATTGCCCATACATATTACTGTTCCCTGCTATCTGCCATACATATTACTGTTCCCTGCTACCTGCCATACATATTACTGTTCCCTGCTATCTGCCATACATATTACTGTTCCCTGCTATCTACCATACATATTACTGTTCCCTGGTATCTACCATACATATTACTGTTCCCTTCTATCTGCCATACATATTACTGTTCCCTGCTTATTGCCCATACATATTACTGTTCCCTGCTATCTGCCATACATATTACTGTTCCCTGCTATCTACCATACACATTACTGTTCCCTGGTATCTACCATACATATTACTGATCCCTGCTTATCTGCCAAACATATTACTGTTCCCTACTTATCGCCCATACAAATTACTGTTCCCTGCTTATCGCCCATACATATTACTGTTCCCTGCTTATCGCCCATACATATTACTGTTCCCTGCTTATCGGTCATACATATTACTGTTCCCTGCTATCTGCCATACATATTACTGTTCCCTGCTATCTGCCATATATATTACTGTTCCCTGCTATCGCCCATACATATTACTGTTCCCTTCTATCTGCCATACATATTACTGTTCCCTGCTTATCGCCCATATATATTACTGTTCCCTGCTATCTGCCATATATATTACTGTTCCCTGCTATCTGCCATACATATTACTGTTCCCTGCTATCTGCCATATATATTACTGTTCCCTGCTTATCGTCCATATATATTACTGTTCCCTGCTATCTGCCATACATATTACTGTTCCCTTCTATCTGCCATACATATTACTGTTCCCTGCTATCTGCCATACATATTACTGTTCCCTGCTTATCGCCAATACATATTACTGTTCCCTGCTTATCGCCCATACATATTACTGTTCCCTGCTATCTGTCATACATATTACTGTTCCCTTCTATCTGCCATATATATTACTGTTCCCTGCTATCGTCCATATATATTACTGTTTCCTGCTATCTGCCATACATATTACTGTTCCCTGCTATCTGCCATACATATTACTGTTCCCTGCTTATCGCCCATACATATTACTGTTCCCTGCTTATCGCCCATACATATTACTGTTCCCTGCTTATCTGCCATACATATTACTGTTCCCTGCTTATCGCCCATACATATTACTGTTCCCTGCTTCTCGGCCCTACATATTACTGTTCCCTGCTATCTGCCATACATATTACTGTTCCCTGCTATCTGCCATATATATTACTGTTCCCTGCTATCGCCCATATATATTACTGTTCCCTGCTATCTGCCATACATATTACTGTTCCCTGCTATCTGCCATACATATTACTGTTCCTTGCTATCTGCCATATATATTACTGTTCCCTGCTATCGCCCATACATATTACTGTTCCCTTCGAACTGCCATACATATTACTGTTCCCTGCTTATCGCCCATATATATTACTGTTCCCTGCTATCTGCCATACATATTACTGTTCCCTGCTATCTGCCATACATATTACTGTTCCCTGCTTATCGCCCATACATATTACTGTTCCCTGCTTATCGTCCATATCTATTACTGTTCCCTGCTATCTGCCATACATATTACTGTTCCCTGCTTATCTGCCTTGCAATATATCTCCCCTGTTTATCTCCCCTGTATATCTCCCCTGTTTATCTTGCTAACATGTCATTGCCACATCCTTCTCCCTAACAAGAAATTGCCATTGTTACTTCCCTAAGAAAAGCATCTTTCTATATTTACTTTCCTGACTAGATATCTCCCCTGTTTCAATATATCTCCCTCTTTCCCATTTTGTGCTGTTATCTCCCTAGGTCATCTTTCTTAATATCTACTGCCCCTAGATATCTCTCTTTCAAGCTATTTCTCTCTTTATTACTCCCTAACATGCTACCTACTCTGTTAACCATCCTGACTTGTTTACTTTTCTTAATATATATCTGTCCCCATTTATCTCTTACATACTATCTCCCTTTGATTACACACTAACAAGATATCTCCCTTGTTTGTCGTCCTGAGTTGTTATCTCTCCATTAATCTTTAACAATATTTATCACCACTGTTAATATCTCTTACAAGTTATCCCCCCTGTGTTACTCCCTTATAAGATATACCCCCTGTTTACCTTTCTTACAAATTATCTCCCCTGATTATCTTTCTCAATATCTATCATTCCTGTTAATTTACCAGGTTATACCCCCAGTTTACCTTCCCCACAAGTTACCTTCCCAGAATACCTCCATTTACTAGACATCTCCCATGTAAACATCCCTTTTCAGTCATTTTTTCATGTCTGTTGCTATCACTAAATTTTTCTCCCTGTAACTCCATCTCATTTTATAGGTACTCTGGCAGTTATCCCTTTACAGTAGCAATAATCTGTAGAATCCTAGACCTATGATCTGTGTTCCAAAAAACTATTTAAGTTGTAAAAAACTATCAATGTTTTTCAGGTTTATTGTATTACAGGACACAGTACTGATACATAAGGTTTTTTAAATTAATTTGCATCAAAATACCATGTAGACAGATTAATTTCTACCTATGATATCTTGGTTTAAATTTAACATACTTATATTTTGAAGATAGTGTGTAATGCATTACACTGTTATATCACATGGACTTGAATACATAAGTATGCAGATCTACAGAAGAAAGCTGTTAGCATCTTAAGTAAGCAAATCTATAGTACCAAAATGTATTGATTTCTTAATCCTACAGGCAAATAGGACTCAAAATTGTAAGTAGAATGTTTCACACACTATCAATATGAAAAAGGAATGTCACATTGTATGTGATGTTAATGACAATGCCATCAATAACATAACTCTGTGGATAGAAATAGACATAAATCTGCATTCAAATTATTAGCAAGGCCTTAGGCCTGCACATGGCTGCTTCGTCTGACTAGCTAAGGCTATAGGGGGATTAACATGTACAAAAACAAATCACATCTTACTTTGGCAAGGTGAAGTCTTCCGTTAGAGGACCGTGTAGTTAGTAACATATGATTGGTGAAGAGAAACACTTGGCGCACAACCTCTTTTTTGGACTCCTTGAATGAAGAGCTGAAGGAGCCAAGGCGCCCGCGTCCAAATTTCCCTTTTTCGTTGAAGACTTGTAGTAATGCCCCTGGAATGACAGTAACACAGCTTTCAAACAGAGATTCATGTGAATATTAAATTTAGTCCAATAATGATGTACCAAAACATTACTCGATGGCTGCTTAAAGCAGATAAATCTCCACTGAGCATGTGCAACAAAAGAGAACAGGGTGCTGCCATCTGTTGTCAAAACTGAGCACTATTGTATTGACCCAGTGGATTTCCCCCCTCATTCACATAATTACTATGAGGATTCCAGGGCCGACAGCATAAACTCACACTCAGTCCCCATGTGCTTCTCACAAGAAACACATTCTATCAATATATGTAGGATGCAGAGTGGCCAGAACACACATGTCACACAGCTCTAGCTGTCAGCTCTATCTTGTGTGTATGCCAATACTGATGAGGATTTTTTTTGTCAATATCTACAAGCAAAATCAAAGCTGGCAGTTTTAAGTTCATTCATTACAGGACAAAGTCATTTATATGAGCGAAGTTCCCCATTGATTTTATATCACTTGGCAGACATTGCTTAGGCTCTCGAGGAGAGGACTAACACACTGCTTATATGGTAAAACACAGCACATCAATGTACCAAACACTGCCCATAAACCTGACACAGAGAAAGCTCTATACCACAGCAGCCTAGCACACGAAATAGGCTGACAGACAGAGCACTAACGAGTGTGACAGGGAACACACGCTCTGTCAGAGAAAGCATACATACTATCATAGGGTACACACACACACAAACTGTCACAGAAAATACACCTACTGTCACTGGGTACACACACACACACAGTGTCACAGAAAATATACTTACTGTCACAGGGTACACACACAGTGTCACAGAAAATATACCTACTGTCACAGAGTACACACACACAGTGTCACAGAAAATACACCTACTGTCACAGGGTACACACACACAAACTGTCACTGAAAATATACCTACTGTCACAGGGTACACACAAACACAGTGTCACAGAAAATACACCTACTGTCACTGGGTACACACACACACACAGTGTCACAGAAAATACACCTACTGTCACAGGGTACACATGCACAGTGTCACAGAAAATACACCTACTGTCACAGGATACACACACACACAGTGTCACAGAAAATATACCTACTGTCACTGGGTACACACACACACAGTGTCACAGAAAATATACCTATTGTCACAGGGTACACACACAGTGTCACAGCAAATATACCTACCATCACAGGGTACACACAGTGTCACAGAAAATACACCTACCATCACTGGGTACACACAGTGTCACAGAAAATATACCTACCGTCACAGGGTACACACAGTGTGACAGAAAATACACCTACTGTTACAGGCTACCCACACACAGTGTCACAGAAAATACACCTACTGTCACAGGGTACACACACAGTGTCACAGCAAATATACCTACCATCACAGGGTACACACAGTGTCACAGAAAATATACCTAGTGTCACAGGGTACACACACAGTGTCACAGCAAATATACCTACCATCACAGGGTACACACAGTGTCACAGAAAATATACCTAGTGTCACAGGGTACACACACAGTGTCACAGCAAATATACCTACCATCACAGGGTACACACAGTGTCACAGAAAATATACCTAGTGTCACAGGGTACACACAGTGTCACAGAAAATACACCTACTGTCACAGGGTACACACAGTGTCACAGAAAATATACCTACCGTCACAGGGTACACACAGTGTCACAGAAAATACACCTACTGTCACAGGGTACACACACAGTGTCACAGCAAATATACCTACCATCACAGGGTACACACAGTGTCACAGAAAATATACCTAGTGTCACAGGGTACACACAGTGTCACAGAAAATACACCTACCGTCACTGGGTACACACAGTGTCACAGAAAATATACCTACTGTCACAGGGTACACACAGTGTCACAGAAAATACACCTACTGTCACAGGGTACACACACACAGTGTCACAGAAAATACACCTACTGTCACAGGGTACACACACACAAACTGTCACAGAAAATATACCTACCATCACTGGGTACACACACAGTGTCACAGAAAATATACCTACTGTCACAGGATACACACACAGTGTCACAGAAAATACACCTACTGTCACAGGGTACACACACACACACAGTGTCACAGAAAATACACCTACTGTCACAGGGTACACACACACAAACTGTCATAGAAAATATACCTACCATCACTGGGTACACACACAGTGTCACAGAAAATATACCTGCTGTCACAGGGTACACACAGTGTCACAGAAAATATACCTAGTGTCACAGGGTACACACAGTGTCACAGAAAATACACCTACCGTCACTGGGTACACACAGTGTCACAGAAAATACACCTACTGTCACAGAGTACACACACACAGTGTCACAGAAAATACACCTTCTGTCACAGGGTACACACACACACAGTGTCACAGAAAATATACCTACCATCACTGGGTACACACACAGTGTCACAGAAAATATACCTGCTGTCACAGGATACACACACAGTGTCACAGAAAATACACCTACTGTCACAGGGTACACACACAAACTGTCACAGAAAATACACCTACTGTCACAGGGTACACACAGTGTCACAGAAAATGTACCTACCAGGTACTTTATCAAGGTCCCTCCTGTGACAGACTATACATATTGTCAATGAAAATATTTGTACTGTCACATTGGGTACACATGCCCTGTCACAGAAAATGTACAAACTGTGACAGGAACCAACATATTGTCACAGGGTACACATGCCCTGTCACAGAAAATGTACAAACTGTGACAGGAACCAACATATTGTCACAGGGTACACATGCCCTGTCACAGAAAATTTACAAACTGTGACAGGAACCAACATACTCTCACAGGGTACACATGCCCTGTCACAGAAAATGTACAAACTGTGACAGGAACCAACATATTGTCACAGGGTACACATGCCCTGTCACAGAAAATTTACAAACTGTGACAGGAACCAACATACTCACACGATACGCATTTCAATGTCTCTGCTTCAAACCCATACCTTCTGCTTACCAATCTTACACTCAACCAATCCAGCTAAAGAGAATTTCTCTCAATCTAAGCGATTATTCAGGCTAGTATTTAACAAGATTACATATTCTTGAGTCCCTATATGAGTATGAAGGTAGCAGAAGTAACACCTATCATCACAGGGTAAAGAAACACTCTCACAGCGCACACAAATAATGCCAAGGGGTACACACAAGCTGTCACAGGGTACATACACACTGTCACAGGGTAAACACACACTCTCATAGTGTACACACATGATGCCAAGGGGTACATACACACTGTCACAGGGTAAACACACACTCTCATAGTGTACACACATGATGCCAAGGGGTACACACAAGCTGTCACAGGGTACATACACACTGTCACAGGGTACATACACACTGTCACAGGGTAAACACACACTCTCATAGTGTACACACTAATGCCAAGGGGTACACACAAGCTGTCACAGGGTACATACACACTGTCACAGGGTAAACACACACTCTCATAGTGTACACACATGATGCCAAGGGGTACACACAAGCTGTCACAGGGTACATACACACTGTCACAGGGTAAACACACACTCTCATAGTGTACACACATGATGCCAAGGGGTACACACAAGCTGTCACAGGGTACATACACACTGTCACAGGGTACATACACACTGTCACAGGGTAAACATACACACTGTCACAGGGTACATACACACTGTCACAGAGTAAACATACACACTGTCACAGGGTACATATACACTGTCACAGGGTACACACAAGCTGTCACAGGGTACATACATGCTGTCACTGGGTATAGGGTGGTCGGGTGGCGCTGTGGTAACGCACTCGCCTTTCACCTAGCCGACCGGGGTTCGATTCCCAGAACGGACGTGAAAAGGTAAGGGGTCACCTGCCCGACCACGTAGGTTTTCCACGGGTACTCTGGTTTCCTCCCATAATAACTCCCCTCGCGCGCTTACATCCGAGCCACCAAGAGTGATTAGTATAAGCTGAAATAACTTGTTTCGCAATTGTTGTAAAATAAATAAAGTTTATATTTTTAACATTAATCTAGATATTGTTTGTACATTGTACACACATCTAGACCACATCACTGTTGTAACATTAATCTAGATATTGTTACTACATTGTACACACATCTAGACCACATCATTGTTGTAACATTAATCTAGATATTGTTACTACATTGTACACACATCTAGACCACATCATTGTTGTAACATTAATCTAGATATTGTCTTTACATTGTACACACATCTAGACCACATCATTGTTGTAACATTAATCTAGATATTGTCTGTACATTGTACACACATCTAGACCACATCATTGTTGTAACATTAATCTAGATATTGTCTGTACATTGTACACACATCTAGACCACATCATTGTTGTAACATTAATCTAGATATTGTCTTTACATTGTACACACATCTAGACCACATCATTGTTGTAACATTAATCTAGATACTGTCTGTACATTGTACACACATCTAGACCACATCATTGTTGTAACATAAATCTAGATATTGTCTGTACATTGTACACACATCTAGACCACATCATTGTTGTACGTTAATTTAGACACTATAGTTTTTGTTGCCTAGTTGTGGGACAGAACCAGTAATGAAGGTCTCTGTTACTAATGCAATGATAAAGAATGTTTAATTATGCATTTCTCGGTGGGATACAGTATTAATCCGTCCAATCAATCCGCCAGTTAAATTCCTCAGACACGCTATGCTTGAATGCCAAATATGACAAGACATGCATGAGTGGTGTTTATGCGCAGATTTAGAATTCAATAATGACGCCCTTCACAAAAGGTCACAGAGATTTGTGCTCTTGTCTTTTAACATCATTTTACAATAGTGGACTGGGTCAATACCACATCAATACAGTATACTGTTCATTGTAAGCATGTGCTCTGGTCATGTGCTTCTG